AACTAAATCTACGCAACAGATCTGGGGATTCAGTTTTAATGCTTGTCAGATGCGATCCTATTATGTTGGATGGATAACCTGGTCGTGTTTTACACATGTCGTACCACAGCAATCATATTTCCTCCATGCTCATTTTGGTACAGATGCACTCACAAGTTAAGTTTACGTTCGCATTATACACTTTTCAAATTCTATTTATAATGAGCCATTTGTTTTTCATAGAATGGTAATTTGTTGAACGGCTTTCAAATACTTGTTAAATAAGTGTGCAGGTTAAACGCGCTGTTTCATTTAACATAAAGAACAGGGTTAACGGAGCACTATGTTGCAAACCGAAAGCATATAAAATGTTGTTGTAGTGTCTAGTACACAAACTACGCCCTTACACAAGCAGGGTCTTGTAGCACTACGGTCCGAACCCATTAACGAAAGCAGTATAAGTGAAGGTCACGCTCTGGACACTCTATTCACAAAAGTGAGTCAGATAAGGTACAGGGGTAAGGACTTAAATATTAATACATCGAGGACGCTCATCCAATCATTTGCAGGCTGCGGTGAGTGACGTGGCCGATATGACTGGAACTTGCAGTAGGCGTTAAAAATTTGCCGCCTCCCTAAATGGGCACATCATCATGAGTGACAACTGAACTGCTAAGTCTTCTGCTTTGAACGTCGTTTCTGCACATTGACTCCGCGTTCGATTGAAGGGCTGAGTGAAGTAGTCTGAGGTTAACTCGGTGGCCGTCTGAAAGCTAGTACTTTCCTGGCCCTAATTTCCGAGTAATTCTTATGGGGCGCGATAATGTTGGCTGCCCTTTACGTGTCTGCCTTTAGTTCATTTTCCTTCCGGGACGCAAAGTTATGGATCACTTTTCTTAAGAGGAAGCATAACCTCGGCAACGCACCAGTTGGGGGATTGTTGTTTTCTATTGCGGATTTAGTTGCATTTAACTTCCTACTTAGCTTCTTTCCGAACATTAGCTCCCCTGGCGTGCGATCCGTCGCTCCGTGACAAGGCTTTCTGTGGATAAAACGCGCCTTGACTCCGGAATCTTCTCAATGCTTGCCGGACAAACGTGCTGTCTGTATGCTTTCCTTTAGATAGCGATTTGCGCGCTCCATCATTTCGTTGGAAGCTGGATTGTAGGAGACATTTCGTACGTGTTTCACCTTGTGAATTTGTAGGAAATGTCGAAACGTGCAGTTTGTGAATTGTGCTCCTTCGTCCGTCACAACTTTTTCTGAAAGGCAAAATCCAACGAGCAGGTGCTTCAACCACCTGATAACGGTTGAAGTATTTACATCGCCACAAAGGTGAATCTCAGGCCTCGTACTGTAAAAGCACGGCGCCACTAAACAGTTTCTCTGGCGAGGCGGTGAGGAATGGAATGGTCTCATGATGTCAATCGCCACCTTTGATCAAACTTTCATTGGATAGACGATGGGTTGGATGGGTTAATCGATCGGCGTAGAGCTCTTGTCGGCGTTCTGACATGCATCTCATCTGCCATTTTAGTCATTGTCGGCCACCAAAATGTGCTTGCAGTCAGCGCTTCGTTCGTACGATACCCGGATGTCCTTCGTGTGCACATTGGATAATTTCTGATGTTAGTTTATGTGGAGCCACCAATCTCCACCCACGCATTAGGTAACCATCAATGACCGCTAACTCTTGTTGTAAAACAAAATACCCCTGAAGTTCACAATTGAGCTTTGTGTATTGAGGCCAGCCCTGAGAGAGGTAGCGAAAAACGGCTTGTAAATTTGGCTCACTTTGGTTAGCTTCTTGAAGTATTTGCTTAGATACGGCGGAAAGCTCACTTGAAGGCAAAGCGGAAACCATGATCTTTTCTTCGTCATCCACCTTTTTATCGGAATCGTCCAATGTGAGACGTGATAAGCTATCTGCCATATGGCTTTCGGAGGTAGAGCGGAATGTGTTCTTAAAATAACAGTTCAGTAAATGCGCATACCAGCGGTTAATTCTTAGTGCCTTGTGACTATTGTTTTCTTGGATGAGGCGGATAGTTAGCGCAGCTTGATCTGTAGGAAACGTAAACCTGCGACCAAACAGGAATACGTGCCAATTTTACTGGCCCAAACACAGATCAGGGCGGTTCTTTCACCGGCGGAGCATAATTTACCTTTATGGGATAATTTTCTGGTGGCATATGCAATCACTTTTTCCCCTCTGTTCTGCATCTGCGGCAGGACCGCTCCTAAACCGAGCTTTGCCGCATCTGTCGACATGAACGTAGGGCAGTTTTCATCGAAAATGGCTAGCATTTTTGTACAGACGAAGGTAATTTAATTTTTTCAAAAGCAAACTGCTGTTCAGAGCCCCAGTCGAAAGTGGCATTTTTGCTTGTTAGCATTCTCAAGGGCCCTGCTAGGATAGCAAAATCGGGCAAATAGCGTAAAATGTACGATCATAAACCAAGAAAATGCTTAACCGCCGATGTATTCTTCGGTATGGAGGCTTCTGCGATAGCCCGAGTACTAGCGGCACATGGTTGAATTTCACCGAAGATAAGATTTACACACGGGATTCGACTTTAGGAGCCCAAAAGCTACATTTTTCAAGATTAAGCCGAAGATCTGGGATCTCCAAACTGTGTACTAATGCTCGTAGCCTTGAGTCGTGCTCTTCTTTTGAAAGTCTGAAAACGCAGATATCAATGTAAGCAACTTGTCCCGGTATAACTGCTTATGAGTGATTTGTGAACTTCTGGCAAGCTGTGGGAGAAGAGCTGAGCCCCTTTGGCAATATTTTACTGGAACAGAAGGTTTAATGTCAGAAAAACCGTTAGTGATCTCGATGCTAGTGTCAATGGCATTTGGGAAAAACCTACTTCATGTCTTATTTTGAGGAAACCGTGTGCCAGTGATCTTGTCTAGCAACTCATCAACTGTGAGAAGAACCAACTTTCCATGACGATCTGACTATTCAACGCCGTCAAGTCATTGCATTGGCGCACATTACGGTCCTTCTATAAGACCGTGACCATAGGGTGCACCGATTCGGAACAGTTAATTAACTCTACCAGACCGTTGGATACTATCTTCTGTATGGCCTTCTCTACCATCGCACGTTTCGCCAACGGAATAGGACGTGACTGCATTATAGAAAACGGCTTAGCTTGCTGTTTAAGGCATATGCTGTGAGCGGTAGATGGAATCTGGCCAATCATCTCAGTAAATCATTTGGGATATAAACTTAAATCACTGATGCATTGAGTGCCATGGTGCGCATTCCATCGACAGATAACTTTATGTTACTATCGACCACAGAATTTCGTTTCGGCAAGATTAGGCTTTCTTCAGATGTCACGTACACAGCAACGTCGGATGCGGCCGATTGTAGACTGTTTCGTCACTATATATCCACGGATACACACAATGGCATTGGTGTAGGAGTCAAAGTTGTAGGCAGTGGGATGCAATGGAATGTCCTGTAAGTGATCGTTATAAACGCTATATGGAATGGTTGTTATTGGCGTTGCAGAATCTAATTCCATTGCAACTGGTACAGTGTTGGGGGTCCATGGAGCATAACTGTCCGGATGTCAAGGTAAGGGAACTTGTGCTCTAACAAGAATGCTTCCGATTGTGTGGCTGATGAAGTTTTCTAAGCGCAAAACTATTTTCCGTAGCAGACGCAGAAAAAGACTCAGTCGATGGTTATTCAACTAGTGCTACTTGGCGGGAGCGACAACACCGGGCGAAATGGCCCCGCTTATCACAGTTATTGATTTATACTGTAAGGGCCGGACACGTTTGACAAACTGTCTTTTGTCGAGAAATTCCACATCGAAAGCACAAAACAGTCACATTCTGAGATTACGTAAAATTCGGGCTCCGAAGCTTGCTGATATCGGGTGATTCATTGGTGCTGATCAGACGTAACTGTTCAAGAGTAGTTGTTTTGAGCCTAGCGATCTCTTTGGCATTACTCCAGTAAAGCTTCGAGGGGTCTTCCAGAACCAGTGTTTTTCGTATGTGACAATGCCGGATATTAATTGTTGTGTCAGCATGACCCCTTCATACCTATTCCTTGAAATACTAGAGTAATCGCATGTTTTTACTGCAAGGATCAAGCGGGAAACCAAGTGTTGCAGGGGTTCTGAGTCAGTTTTTCTCAAACGGCCTTGTTTATAACATCCAGAAAACCTTAGGCCTGGGGCACTAAGATCAATGCACTACATCTAACGCCTTTGTGAGCCTGTCCACCTTTTGTAACTCCAGTGCACCAAAGTAACGCTGACCTTCATTTCCCATAAGGTGACGAGAAAGTTTCAACTTTTGGACCATATCATACGTAACAGTTGACGGTAGTAATTCGGAGTAATTTGTTAAAGATGTTTTCCCTAGAGCCCAATAGAGTTCATAGGTTTGGCGCTGGAATCACGCCAGTATGCGCCCGTATGTGAAAGATGGAATGTCACTGTAGCAGTTCGCAGCCGCGATGCCAATGTTGTGTCCCAATACGCACACTAGGCCCCTACGCAAGTGTGGTCTTGAATCACTACGAGCCGAACCCATTAAGAAAATCAGACTAGGGGCGGACACGTTCTGGACACCTTATTCACAAAAGTGAGTCAGATAAGGCAGAGGCGTAATGACTTAGACATTAATCCATCGATGGCGTTCATCCAATTATTTACAGGCTGCGGTGCATGGCGTGGCAGATATGGCTGGAACTTGCGGTAGGTGCTACAACAATACTAAACTAGGATTAACTTCTACCATTTACCATACCCTTTGCCAAATATTTTGTAATCGATAGGTTTTCTTTAAGACATTTTCATGCTGCCATGCGTAAGGAAGGTAAAATGTTTGAGTAACAGTTCCAAAATTAAACGGTTATTTCCACTTTTGCCGATAAGTGTCGGACAGTTGAAGCATTTACTCATACGAAATTGAAGCATTATTCCCATCGCCCTCTATCTGATAATGGAGTTGCTCTACCACTTTCTAATTTTCCGTATCCATGGTAACAGGAACGACACTTTTACGCGTGATTCTTGATGTACACCCGAAAATACGCTGTGGGGCTGAAACACATGTCCTGTCACGCATTCTCTCGTTGTACCGATCCATACATGTCGGGAACATGCTGAAACGAATGGAGGCCGCGCAGCTGTATCCCGTGGCAATCAATCGGGCTTTCTCATCTTTTATCAATACTTTGATTGAGAATGCAGGTGATTCTGCTGAAGTGTTGTGCAACAAAGATCCGCTGGCTCTGCAGTACAGTACGTGGCTGCAGACACTATTTCCTCAGGCAAAGTTTATTCATCTCGTTAGAGACGGGCGTGCAGTGACAGCTTCAATGCTAAAGTGAGTTTCCCGTGGTGGAGGATCAATGTTCCCTTATTTATGTTTGAATGCAAGTTGCACATTCATCTACTAGTGGTTGTTAACGTTAAAATATCAATCATCTTACACTGTGGAAATATAATAGGACTGACTAGATGAAATCGGTTATCAGAGAGACCGCGTGGGGTTAATCCACACAGGGACATGGTACAGTGTGAAATATGGCAACTACAATGTTTAAACCTTTACCAAGATGTGCCCCACTATGACAGTACAAGAATAGCTTTAGCCTGATCTACTGTGCACTATCTCATGTCTCTTTGATTTTGTATATACAAAACATGTCAACATAACTGAAGGTTTAATCCAAAGTTGTAGTTGAGCCTTGTCCTGTAACACAAATAGCTTAACGCTGACTAACGTGTAATGGGCACTGTTACAATTTAGGCGAGAAGAATGAAAGATATAAAACTAGTTTTCCTCTACTATTGGTTATTATAACTATTTATTGGAAGTGAAAGCCTCGTCTACTGGTAACATTTTGGTATGACTGCTGTGGCTAGATTAACTGATTACAAGGCCTTCAGCATGCGGCGCTTGAAAGTCGATCACCATATTACAAAAGCTTAGTGATAGATCACCAACTCTAAAAGTAAAACGCTGCCATTTTGTGTCAAAACTCCTTACTGTGTGCTTAGTGGTAAATTATAACCCTGGTTGTATCTACACTATTGTACTATACTTGTTGGGTAAGAAATAAAATTTTTTAATAATGCGTGGACATCAAAAACATTTTACTTTTAATACTTTGTTAAACAAATGCTTACTAATAAGATGCCAACAAACTCGAAATTGGTTGGACGCATCACACGCAAAAATTGAAATAAACCAATCGGAAACATTGAATTACTGATTTGTAATTTAGCGACTTATCTTGGATGTGTTTTGGATACGAATACTCAATTTTCTGCTCCCCGAAAAGCTACTGATCCCAAAAGCAGCTTCTAACAGACTCGAATAGTGGAATCACAGTAAATGCATTCTCAGTACTGGAGATCAACATTGCCCTCTGCGTGTTGGAACCGCGCATGAGGCAGCTCAGAATGTGTTGCACTATATTACTTAGAAGTATTTGGTTGCGATGGTTGCAGCTGATCCACAGCGGCTAAGGGGTACGATTAACTGACACCCAAATAGTCTTCACGATATTCCGCATGTTTCCAAGCAAATGCACAGCAATCTCTTAATAGTATCAAAAAGATGAAAACGTTTTCTGTCACCGTTTCGGATTTTACTTGGCTTTGTAAATGAGTATAACTGTGGATCAATCCTCTTGGACGTTTTAACCAGATTCCTGTATCTGACATTCTGAAATCAGTAAAATATTCGAAATGAAGTGTGTCCATCTCACCAGAAATAGTCCTGTTCTTGGATATACGCGTAACCGGATAAGTATTGCATGTGCCGTTGTGAGATGTTTTGTTGAATGTTCGAGCCAAACGAAGTGAAGTGGCTCTAACTTATGGGGTTATCTGAATACCTCACGCAGTACGCATCAGAGTCATTGTGTAATATTTAGCCTTAACCTACATTTGATTCAAGACAATAATTATTCCGTGAGCTAGTTGTCCATGTGTTTGTTGACCAAGCGAACGGTGGCGCATTTGTGGTGAGAACGAGACAGTGGTTCGGCAGGCTGCACTGCGACACGTCGTATCATTTAACTCAAGAGTATTTAAGCAAACCTTTTAAATATACTTAAGAAAACCTGAGTAGATTTCTTTCTTTAAATGTCAGCAGTGCACAATTCTCTTGTGCCCAACCTAAGTAGGCATGAGCAATGCACCCGCATATATGTATTCTGCCATTCTGCAGACTCTATGAGTCCCAGATGTGTGCATTGTATTGAATAAGCCACAATTATACAAGGAGCCTGTAATCTTACCAGACCGATTCACCTAGGCTTAACTTACAAATCAGAAGCTTTCAATTAATTAACGCTGAAATGCAGTAAACATACAGTACCTAAATTTGTTACATTCTTTTACTAAGTACCGAAAACACAGACAATGCTGTCTAAACCGATTTACTAATGTCTGGCTTCAAACAGTCATTAAAACAATACCTAAAGCAAGCATTGAAAATCATACCTTCATATTGCTGACCGCTTATTTTTATCAGTTGTATGCAATTCTTCAGCTGGTTGGAAGTGGTTTCAAATTTAAGAGGTCGCAGTTTATTTAAAATCAATAAAAATATGTATATGACTTTGAGGCAAGTGTCAGACCGGATACGTCAAACAAGGAATGTTTTGTGATGCTATTGACATTATTGTGCATAATGTAGAGCCGACTTTTAATTAGATCTATCATAGAACTGCTAATTTAATAAATATGGATATGTAAAAATACTACTTATCTATAGCGTATAAATCAATGAATTTTTATCGTCATTTGAAAAGTAGACATGAACTGAGCATTAATAGGTTTTGTATCAAGTTTAATTACTCTATCGAATAAACAAAGGCACTAAATGGCATGGTATTCATTTATTATATATTTGTGTAACCTTTTAATGATATATATAATGAGTTTACGCCTAGTTTACACCTAGGTTTGCGCCCATTTGAGCTACCAGTGAAAGGATTGGAATTTTTCCGAAGAGATACCAGAGGATGTAGTTTCGCAAAATGTTGGAATTATATTGTGTCTGGGATAGGAGGTCGTGTTTGGAGGAGGAGGCTACGCAGGAAGATTAGGGGCAAATAATCCTTAAAACGAAACTCACTGAGGTCGGTTTCTATCATTATCAACAGATGTGACCAATCAAATGTGTCCATGGTTTTCGGACCCTAGCCAACGAGACAAGGGTCTCTAAACAAAACCAAGTTCAAACTAAGGCCTATATTCCTCTTGCCCAAATCATCGCTTGGCCTCCCCTCCTCCTCTTCCGTCTACATCATCGGCACGCAAACTACGCACATCGTGGGAGTCGGTGAGCTGGCAGTCGCAACACGTATCTTAGCCATCGCAGCTTGGAGCGCGATATAATGGTGCTGAGCGGTTCCTTTCCTCTTTGCTATAAACATGGCTTTAAACATAGCTTTAAACACGCTTATTGCTCACCTGGTGTTCCTACCGGATTTGAACCAAATTGAGAAGGCGCCGTTGGTCGAACGTAACTAGTCTCTTTACGCCTGCCAATCTACTGAACTAGACTTCACAATCGTACAGTAGGGACGAAGGTATGGCTGTATTGTACACTCTACCCTTCAGAGAGAGAGACTGATGTCGTGCCGGAGTCATGCGTAGCGAAGGTTAGCAAAAGCGCTTCGCGTTTTTGACATACGGTTCGTGACCTCGTCTTTGATTCTGGCGGCGCTGATACAACCTCCTACATAGTTTGATTTCTGAACGAATTCTCGCTGATCCTCACTAAGGGTCAACTCAGGTGGCGGCCCCTGTTAATCTTGGTAGAAAGCTTTTCAGTTTGAGTGTGCAAAGCAAAGTGCAATACGGCTGGCAGTTAGTGCTAATTTGTTCAGTGCACGTTTGTGGGCTGTCACAGATGACAGCAATGTCACCAGCATGATCCAACTGAAGAATTCGATAATATAAAAGCAGCTCCACATCTTCTAATGCGTGTCCTTTAAACGTGATCACCATGACTTCTTCAATAGCGAAGTTTAAAAGGAAAGGTGAGAGCGAGAATCTTTGTCTTACACTGCTGAAGATATGGGGGGGGGCGACGACAAGTTGATGTTAGCCCTCACTCTGCCAGTGCTACGCGCGTAATGTCTTCGGATAACATTTACATATTTCGCGGGTACAATTTTCCGGCGTAGGCCGTCCCAAGGGGCACTTCAAGCCACCGCATGGAAGGGACGTTTGATGTCAAGGAACAGGAATACTGTGGACCGACCATATATGTGACGGTGCTCCAACGACTAACGCTGTGTTGATGCCAGCAATGCGATCTCGACGAAATTCGGCTTCCTCTTTAGGAACCTAGATTTCACGAGTGACGGTCAGTATTTGAAGGATAACGGAGGCAGGTAATTTGAAGGTGATGGAGATCAGACTGCATTTTTTCTGCGATCCGTACGGGATCCTCCATTAAAAATTTGGCCAATGACATAGCGGATCCAATTTGGATAGTTTACTGCTCCAACAACTTCACTAGTAAATAGTGCAAGGCATCTAAAAGAGTAGACTCCGAATTTGGAGAGGGCTGAGGAGATGCTGACTACCCTGAGGCTTTACTCAATTTGAACTCAATTTGAACAGCTTGATCCAAAGTTTGACCTCTGCGCGTGAGGGTGGATCAAAGGAAAAGGCCCGAAAAACAAAGAGCTAACTCAGCTTGATCAAACGGTTTGCCAAGTGTTTGGTTTAATGCTCCAATACTTTTGACAAGCTGTGGATCAGCTGTTCACTCTCGTTTCGGATGGTCTCGCTAAAACCAGGTCGCCTGCTGCCTGTTCGCAATATCAGACGGGATATCTTACAATGGTTACCAAGGGCAGCAGCTGTTTATATCTCCAAGACACGATGAGACCACCAAGCTTCCCGGTCCCTCCTCAGGCTAGCAGGCTCTTTTGCCCTGAGCTTTTTGCGAGTCTCATTGTATTCGCTTCCAGTCAGAACATGTCGAGAAGCATCCAGAAGTTCCGTAATCTGTGTAGATACCAAATACACAGATTTGTAACGCTTTAGCACATAAATACGTGCCCGATGTTGATAACGTCTGGAGAACAGGCGAACAGTGTCCTTCAACTGTATTCAGTGAGCGCTTGCCCAACCCGAATGCCAGCTTATTTGGATACGTATTCAGAACATCTGTGTGCGCCAGTCGGCTGGTGTCAATGCGCTCATAGCATTGTAGGCGCCCGCCAAAACAAACCAGCTGATTAGCCCATATAAGTGCATGATCAGTGTCCAAAAATGTGCTCCAAATCGAACGACGTTATAGGGGGCAGACTCTGCAGCGGCAACTGATCGCAACGGTGGTGGGCGCCATGTCACCCACCGTCCGGTGCTGTGTCAAAAATTAGTATTCACAAGAAAAAATGAGCATCTTCACACAAATGAAGTAATCGCTCACCGTTATCATTACGGGCGCCTGCATCTTGTTGGTCGCACATGTGCAGCTCATCAGTGGACAATTTTGCAACCTAAGCATTCAGATCTCCAGCCAACACTACGGTGTCCGTACTTCCTTTGTGACAAATGAGCTCGTTCAGATAGCGATAGAATTCAAATTTTGCCGAGTCATCGATATAGTTTTTGCGTACGTAGGCAGTGATGACAAACAGATCCCTATAAGCCTCACGCTACTTCGAAGCGTTGAATGAGCCAGCCAGTGGGACGGCACCCATCTGGCTATTGAATGGGATTCAGACAACCCGAACAGCTCCAGCCCGCCGACTCCAGGCCGTACCAACACCCGCTTGGCCTACACCCAACGCTGTATATTCTGCGGATAAGCGCATTGAAAAAGAACAGCCAGTGTCCCCTGAAGAGGATAATAATGCGAGCTCAGAGCTCAAGTCTTGCAGGCGGATTACCAATAAGCAGGGGATATCGATCACGAGGTTGGCTAATATTCTGGCATTTGTTGCCTGTTGACCCATCAATAATAACATGATTACGCTGAGGCATACCAACTCGAGGGATGATCAAGGACTCCAAGTAGATGCGGATAAACTGTGCTTTATCTCTGGGTTAGACATAGGCTTGTCGACAGCGCAAGTGTGAGTCTCCGCGTTTGCATGTGAGTTGAAACGCGGAGATAAAAGCATATCAAAGCACGGTGGGGGAGTGACAAGATTTAGTTGGTTGAAAACTAGAGGGATAAACGTGTAGTTGGGACGGGACGATCAGAATGAAATAGCTCAGGCTAGGCATTAAGAAGCGGGAAGGCATGAGCAATAGCATCCAAACCTCTATCCACCCTGCTCGGTACAGCTGATATGTACCGTTGTTCATCCTCTGCGACTTTCAGAACGTCAAAAACCAATAGAAGGGGAAATTATCGTATCGCATGTGCAGGATACGTTCAGGTTGTTAGACCTGGGGACTTTAGAACGCCTAGCATACGAAACCAAAGTTTTTGTTTCAAATACCTGACCACAAGACAGCGGGATTGGGGCAGTGGGCTACAAGTAGTCTGTTTTAGGGAATAAGGGGCCACCCTCACTCTAACTCTCAACCTGGAGAAACAGGAGGATGAATTTGTCTGGCCTCTACCAATGACAAATACAGTATGAGTGGACTGGTTAATTTTATGTTATTAAGACTAACAAAAGCAGTACCGTGGGACGATTTACTGACGCTCAGCCTCCTTTAAGAACTTCTTAGGGAGACGCAAATAGCGAAGACTAAGGATAGTGATATAGATCAGCCTGATGCAACAGCTGAAATCCATTAAATTAAAGGCTTGATCACGGCGTATGCAACCGCCTGTATCCTACCGACATACAAAGCCCCGGCTAACGCTTGGAAATATCTCACCAGCATTCAAACCCCTAGTACGAAAGCACAACAAACTATTCCCTTTCCCTTCAGCAACGTTGTCTTGTTTGTATGCAACAGGATACAGTAGTGTAGAACGGTCAGAACTCGGCATGGCATATCTATAAGGCTTGTCTAAACACAGAGAACGAAATTGCTTATGAGACTAAATGTAACGACTCTACTCAACGTGTCCGCGAGGACAAAATTGCACCACTTGAAAAAGCCAATGGCTTTAAACCACAAGCTGCCGCAACAATATTTCAAATTGGAGCACAGAATTTCCCTCTTTAAAAAATGAATTAATAACTGTGACTACTAAGGATTGTTAAACTCTGCGACTGTAGCTTTTGATGATGAAGCTTTTGTGTCAAAAGCGAAACGCTCTCTATTACCATAAATACATTAACCGGTCATCTACCAAGTTTTCTGAAATCATGACTTCCCGATCGGTTCCAAATATGTTCCAAGACATTGAACACTGCGACTATAATATGCTTCAACAATTTGGCGCGTTCACTGCCTACCTAACCCCATCACAAATCTTGCTTCACCAGCAAAGCGCATTTAGAGCAGGTATGGTGCTGAAAATTTGCCATGTATACTTAAGTACAGCCATCCCGGAATTGAGAATATACACCAGAACTCATTTAAACTGGTAGGTTAGTGATAAGCTAAGTATTTAGCTTGACTGGTCTAGTGCTGGTTGTGCGACTTGTGGAAACACAGATTATACTTCAAATGCCTAAAGGAAGTATCCGTTCGGACCTAGCCACCTACCGTCCTATAGCCATTCTACCGATGATCCTAAACGTAATGGAAGCTATTGCTGCTAAAGTAACAGCGGTCTATTTGGAATAACTTAACGACCTTGCAGAGGAACTTCATGGCTGCGGACGAAATCATTAATGTACCACAAATCTACTGCTAGCACATTCCGTCTGAAATGACTCGGTAGAAGTTAGTTCAATAGGTAGGGCATTGCATACATTTCAACCCCAGAGTCTCGGCATCTGTGATGTTCTTCTAGAGTCGAGGGTCCACCGAATGCAGGTTGCAGGATGCTGCACTTACGGCTTCAGATATCCTGTCCTGTAAAGCTGGAGATTTAGCTTCTCGCGAAATGGATCTGGAAGTTTTTTTCAGACCGACTCTAACTGTTGGCGTCAGATTGCGAAGCCATTAAAATAGACATTGAAAACATGGGATATCTGACACTTTGATCTAACAATTTCCAACAAATTCTCGGTATACAACTAAGTGTACACGTGAAATATGCAAGTAGGCATGGCAGGCATGTTTGGGGGATATATCACAAATATTTGGTTATTTTACCTTCAGGAAATCAAGAACGTCAAGCATATGTGCTAAGCATAGACTGAGATGCTCGTGGTCTTCAGTGGAGCATAGCGGCGATTATATTGGAACTTCTATCATGAACCACCAACCGCGTGTATCACCATCTGCTGGTGCCTACTCCCAACAACTATCTAAGACGTTGCCATCTCAAGCTAGAAGGATATGGCACTTATTTTGAACCGGGTTGGACTTTCTCAGTACGTGTTTGCCACTCCTGGAATGCCCCCCGTTATCGATCGGCTGTGCTCACAAGCTGCTTATCAAATTCCGGGTTATCCTTGCTTGCATTTCTTTGCGCCATCTTGCATGACACCTTTCCTTTGTATACTCACGAGTTGCCACTAAGGATTTCCCTGCCTGTCAGCTCCCACAATACGTTCCGTCATTTTCACCTCTTGCATGTGTCCACTAGGCCACTGCAGTCGTCTTATTTTGCGTCGTTTCTTGTAATTTGCCAATGGTTTTACAGTGTTTATTACATGTGCCTCAGTGAGTGAACTTGCGTTTGCTGGTGCTTTTTTCCATAATTAGTGATATTTATCCTGCCGATCCTAAAAGTTATTTAGGCTACAGCTTTTAACCCATAGTAAACGGTTGTTCCATTGATGCATTTAATTGTAGAAGAATCCCGAATGCCCTTCCTGTGATACCTTTCGTCCTGCTCACTGATCCCATGGCAGTACTTACAATTACCTGTTACCAAAAACTTGTGATTGGCCCAACCCAAACAGTGTGCGCTCTGACTCTCACTCCAGATACTGTGTGTGATACGATTTAACTTAATGCAGTGTTCGTTATGCACTTTAAAACCCAGCCGCGTCTCATTCATGCGAACACACTTTGGTCAGGTTTACACTTCTGAACTAAGCTCAGTATCGTTTCACACAGTGACAGTGTTAGCAATGATCTGGAATGTTTCCATGTCTACCTCTTGCATCATCTGGACAGATACATAAAACATTTATTTGGATTACGGCTCACATTGCTTTGCAGCAGTAGCCTTATAACATTGAAAGGGTTGTATGAGTTGAGGCCACAAGCACAATAACCATTTAGTTCTTGTGACCTATTATTTCCCTCCGCTTTCTAAGTAAAAATGGTACCACCTACAATGTTATCATTGTGTGTGTAACGCAAGTTTCTCAAAGCCTACCGCTCAACTAGCCAATCTTTTACTTGGTTACTACTATTTGTCCTACATAAGCCTCTGCATTGTGACGGTGCTTTGTTAAAAGTGTGATATAGAGCCATTATCGTAGTCATTTTTAATCGAATTAAAATAATTGATACACTTATGCTGGGAGAATATATATTTTAAGCATTGTAGATAAGTGGTTAATAATTGTTTGCAAATGAGGCTGTATTGGAATGCCGGTCTTGTTACTAATAATAGTTGTTGACGCATATCCACGAACGGAAGAGTTAAGTAGCTTTTGTCGTCGAAGAACAAGTATAAACTTGAATAGACCTGTAGGCATAGCACTTGAAATAAGTCAAAAATACATAAGTAAAAGCTGCTTTTCAAAACAACTCCATCCTCATAAATGCTGTTTGCAAACTTCCAGCTATTTGAGCTCCGCTGCTGTAAATTTCCAAACGATCTATGGAGCATTGTCGGTGGCCTCCTAAAATATGGCGTTTTCAGTCACACCAACTAGAGATATCGTACATAAATGCAAATAACAAACAGCTGTGAGCAATTTTTATTTCCAAATTACACTTAACAGAAGTAGATGGTGTTAACATTTTTGAACCTTTAAATGATTACGTATATAAAGCAAAATTCCTATGATTGTTGAAGCCTCCAGAATGAGGAATTTGTTTCTGTTCTATAGAGGTCAGTTGGCATAGTCAGGCCATGAGAATTTCAGCACATTCCTTTTGCTATATATCTGGATTGAGGATTCTCCAAAAGATTAATAACGGAGTAAATGAATTTACAAGAGTTATATATATATATAATCATTTATCCATCTCATTCGGAAATTCCATGTATCCGAATCTCTCACCCATGAATATTTACGCCATCAGCGATGAAAATTACGCGCCATCAACACAGCGCAAGAAAGGAAAATCATTTAGGAACTGCGCTCGTTTGGATGATTGATTGGGATTAATGAGGGCTAGCTGAATGACGTGAACAATTGGATGACTTCTCACATTAGGAGAATTAATGAAACCGCTTTAGGACAGGTTTGAGGCTTAGTCGCAACCAATCGGGCTACCATTCATGCGGAATTGGTGACAGTCTTTTGCGCATCAAAAGGTTGCTGCATTTTCGTGCGGTGTAAGCTACGAAGCTTGTGAGAAAGCGAGCAAGACAATCCAGTGTTTATTTATAGTCGAAAATTAAATGAGACCAATTTATCTTCGCCAGGTACTCGTTAAAGTACTAAATATTTAACACTTATTATTTTAAGGTCCAACATAATATGATTCTGTTGTTCATACGGTTGTTAATGAGATTTTTTTAATAACACAGTCAAGCAAAACCGTCATGATTCTGTACAGACCTTAAAATTGTGGATACTATTTGGAGGACTTAAATCTTACCTTGTCAACAGCCTCATTAAATGTTACTACCGAAAAACAGACCCTTTAATTGCTGTTTCAGGTGTTTGCGTGATGGAATACTATTTACCATTCCAGCCACAGACTAAAAATGCTGCCGCAAATAAGTGCTAAATCATAAATTACAGGAAGAACTTCTTCCCCTTAGGATGATTGCTCAACATTTTAGGTTTCCTTTTATAGAGCGACGGTCAAAACGAATAACAACGTTTTTTATTTATCACAGCATTAATGCAAAACACCGCTATCAGACTGATTCAGACTTTAATGACAACAAGGCGTATTTGGACCTTTTGCTTGGAATTAAATAGTTTGTTCGGGGATAACCAAGTAGAGGGTAGACTTTAAGCTGCAAACATAGAAGTCAGTATATAATTTGTTATAATGAATGTGCGTTTTCGCTCGCGGAAAACTAAGTAAATGCACTAAACTAACTAGACTTTCACTGATGGCCCTGTGCAAGGAATTAGTTTGAAAAAATCTTATTTCGTATGCAGCAGGCTCTTCCGTTTTCCATAATTCCCTTCTATTCGACACAAAACAATTCAGGCGTTAGTATAATGCGGAACTTTGTAGCCCTTTGTTTTCCAACACCAGAGTTGTTCGAACGAGTTGACTGCAGGCTATAAATTACCTTGCTGTTTAACATAGTACATAGAGAAGCCGGACAGATTTAAAATGCATTTGCAAAACACGTAAATAAAACGACTGCAAACTGATCGATCTTTCTACTGAGCTATTAGTTTTTACCTCGGAATACCAAGTACTGAAACTTTTAACTTATTAAACTGCAGGCAATCGCGTTTCCTGGAGGAATTAAGTTGTTGTAAGTTGACTACCGGCTAACCATGAAGTCCGAACCAGATAAATGCAACTATTTATTCGCGATCATTCTGATGCTTTGATTTTTGTAAATTGTGGTAACGTTTTGCTGTAGCTTGATCATACTTTGCATAAATGTGTTCAAATTTGTTTGCAAAGCAATTCACAAGCCGTCCCTTACTGTGCTTTGGATCTCAGTTGAATTCTAAGTGTATGCATTTATGTGCATTTTGAATAACACTCTGATAGTTCGGAAAGTTACATCGTCGCATAGAATGGTTGGAAATGTCGAAGTAATCCGCTATCTGATCGATAGTGATCACGCGTTTGTTATTTGGCTAAATTAAAAAAATTGAGATTTGTCATTTCTAATTATGATTTCTTTGTAATTTACGTAGGTTTGAAAATTTAAGCTTAAGCATTTTTCTTTTCACGACATACGTTTTGCATTTCCGATAACTTATATAGTATAACTGAATTCGAAATCCATTACATGGAGCGTATTCCCAAGTATTGTCATTCATCGTCGTGGAAAGTTGTAAGTCAGCTTGAAGAAAAAGATAAATTTGAGGTTAGATGGATTTGTCATATAAATGGTAACAGCATAACACAAGCTGTATATCATTACAGTCAAAAATATTGTTCTCATCAGTAGTAGTAATGTTATTGTATTTACAGACTGTTTTGGTAACGAAATATCGCAGGAATCATCTGTATGGCCTGGTTTGTTAAGAATGCATTAATTGTGTCAAATTTATATAAATACAGACTTTTCCAACAATGTGATTTTCCTCCAGTGAGAAAACGAATATCGGGCCGATAGAATACAGCAGACATACCCATCTTTACAGCACGTCTTTGCATGGCTGAGTAAGGTTTTTCATGAGATTCTGTAAGGAGGTGGGCAGAGATACAAGGTTTAAAGTAGTTGTGCAGAGACGAAATTGCGGCAAAATCTGACTACAATCAAAACACAATCGTCTGGCCTAGTAAAAGTTGGAAGCGCATGTGACACAGATCGCAATGATAAACCGACGATCTCAACAGACCGAAATGACCAGGTCTTGCTGAGGACATCGTTACATGTTAAGATGCTTGCATCGCCTCAGCTTTTGTTGGATTTCAAGCAATAGTAGTTTATGAAGGTGTACTATTCAAAAGTAAAAAGGCGGTTTTTGTAAAACCGCCTAAGAGACTGTAGAGCAAGTAATAGTACAATGTCATCCTCTATACCGCGCGAACGAAGACTGAAAAGGCCTCAAAGTATTCAGATTAACCAAATAGATTTGCGAGAGGTATTATTAAATGACAATAATTACTACATCATGGAACTGTCCATTGTTTTCCAGTAGAAAACATCAAACAGGTATTAGGATTTGAGGTTGCATGGCCGCCAATGGAGTTAATTGGATCCAGATAATGGATGGCTTTTTAGTGCAAAAAGAGGGGATCATAAAAATGGCATGTTGTCATTAGCTCGAAGTTATTCAATGCAGATTACTACTTACAGCATGACAACGCCCTACGCCGTCGTGATAATTAGTCAGAAAATAAACCAAAGAAAAAAGGAAAAGGCTTTAATTACCAGATCAATACTGGATATAGATCTGATTGAAAATTGGTTGTATAGCTAGTCACTAGTGATGTCAGAGAAACTGTCATATAACAAAAGTAATTATTGAATTAATTTTCGTTATTTGGAACCCAGTAGTCACTCATAACATTTTCTCACAGCTTGTGCATTTAATGTTGGCGATGAAAAACAGCCACTGCACACAAAGACTGACTAATGAAGTATAAACAGTGGCAATTTATTACATGGCAATTTTATGATCCACTACAATATTACAATTCTAGATCGTGTTAAGCGACACCATCTTTAGAATATAATCTTCGGATGACAAAGTACATTACAAGCTTTAGTAGTAGGGAATAGAAAATTAGGTCTGGGATGTTATATTTTAAGTGTAGTAATATTAAGAAAACAACTGAAAAGTAAATTTTGCCTATCTATATGGTGCGAGTTTTAAACCACACAAAACAGACATTACTTGATGTGTTATAAAACTTTATCACAGCATATACACTGTTCATACGGTTTGGTAACTGGGTGCAAAGATTTTATTGCTTATATGTACTACGTAATACATTGCTTTTTTACATCCTACAATGATTTTGCTGTGATAAGTTCCTTACTGCAACGAAAAAGCCCTGATAAAAAATGGGAAAGTGATGCTACGCCACATCTTTAATTAAAGCGTAATTAATTAATTATTATAATTTGGTGGACAAAGAGGAAGAAGCTGTTCTATAACGAGTCAAACTATGAAATATCGCACTAACAGTCAAGTACTTCCACCATATTTAACAGTTTTGACTAAACTGCAAAAGATGCTATTTTATATTTGGAGAACCATGAATGACGAAGTTTTCACTACAGGAGACTGCTTACATTTGAAGTCAAGTACTGCGGTGGCATTGTTATAATGTTATAGTAATCGAATTAATGATATACTGAATTAAGAAAGAAAAGGTCAACATCCATGTTCATAACTAGATAGCTTTGTTATCCAGTCCGACTTCTGCGATTGGCCAACAAGAGTTTGTTAGGATATTGTTTGGTAACCTGAACTCATAATGAAATGAATTTCTCAAGACCCATTAACACATGGATGATATAAGTTGTGTATTTTATCTAATAACAAAGATGTCCATTTATAAAATGCGGGAATGTAGTGCAGTAACGTAAGGAAGGTCATCGGACATTGGTCATGAGCATACGCATGCAAACCAAAATGACTTTATAAAGAGAGCGCCTAATATGGCAAGCAGATTTGTGCTATATCTGTGGGTTGCCAGTCCGTTGGGTGTAGGAAGCTTATGCGAGGCAATTCATGTGGAACTCAAGCATCAATTCTTTATAAATATATATTTTAGAAATCTAGACTCAGTCAGATATTCGACATGCCCGAAAGGGCCCTGAACGGCCGTTTTATACTTTCGGGAATCGTCACTAATGCACATTCGATCTGATCCCATTGAGATGCAAACATGCGATTTGACGGTTTCCGGCGTTTATTTCAACCACAGACCAACACATGTGAAGTAGCTCTGCTTATTATCCATCGATTTGCAACTTACTACCATGCGAAAGACAGAGTAGCTTCCACACCAATCGATTAAACTACCAACCGTGGGCCGTTTATTAAGTTACGGCATTACAAGCATTTTGGTCTGCGTATTTAATACAAAGGACTACTAAGGCATTTTGAAAGGCAGCAGCTTAATTACATCACATCTTTGTGTTTTCTGAATGCCTCTAACGAGATTTCTTGCGCTTGGGATTTTAAATAGTGAAATAAAACGATCAAAAGCTATCTACTTTAGAAGATTTAGTTCCATTAATCCCAAAAATTAAAAACTAGTAAATCTAGTTGAAAACCTATAAAAACTAGCTGTTTGCATTTGCATTAGAAGATTGAGTTCCATTATCAGATTAAACAGGCTTTAGTCCTAGGCTCAATGTGAATCTAAAACAAATGCACCTAGGTATTTACGAAGAAAAATAGTGTAACAGAGAAAAAATAATTTGACTTGTTTGGTAACAGGTAATGAATGTCTTAAGAGAGAAGAAGCGAAATTTCAGTGCGGAGAAATAATTCGTGGCAATGAAAAACTAATCCGTGCAATAATTAGCCCTAAAATCGAGATAAATGGTTTGCGTCAAAATGCGCACTTTATTTTGTATGCAAAGAGGATGCTCAACTTGTAAATTAAGAATGAAATCTGCGAAATCAGAATCAGATAATCCGAGAAGAGTAGACAACGTGGCATCCGTTGTTATTAACATGCGAATAAAGTTTGTATATTTGATAGTATTTCAAACGATAGAGCTGAACCGGAATCAAAGGCTGAAAATTGATTTTAAAGTTTAGTGACAAGGTACACAGATCGCCATCGTTCCCAATAATGCTATTATTCATATCAACTGAGATTGTTAAAAGAAATGCAGGTGCCGTTTAAAGTTACTATGAATATAGTAATAAAAGGATGTCAAAGGGAAAAGCCTTTAATACATGAGTCCGAACGATGAATTAATAGATTTAGAAACGTGCTAAAACGTTGCAAAACATTTCATGAATTTTGATTTATTTACTTGATGCTAACCGAATCCGCTTTTTGAAGGCAAATGGAGACTGGGCGCGCCAAAATATACAACGGGGACAATTATTCGAATCAGGCGCTTTTGTTTAAGCTTCAGACCGACTTGTTTCATTAAATTCTAACAAAAAGAATAGGTTGCATTAGTTTCCTTATTGTAGTCTTTGAATGATAGCGACCTCTAACTTGTTCAACTGGGCAGCATGAATTGAATTCGTAAAAATCTGGACAGAATTAGCCGAAAATGAAACAGCTGCTGAAGTGTTTATGCATTAGTGTTTATGGTAATAGTTCCATTGCCTGTTGCGGAAGTTCCGATAACAGCAACAAGAGGCAACAGCTTCTAGGTCAATGCTGTTCGTAATTGTAACAATAAATGGCGTCTTTTCAGTGAAAACGTTTAGAAATGAAGCCAGTACCCTCAGCATCTTTATAGAGTATCACTGTGTAACATGGGCTTTTTGTCCAGGGCCCTCTACAAATAACTTCCTGTATAAAAGTAGACGGCTGTTCACATTGAAGTGAACCTTTGACATTGCGATCACTTGGACGATAGTCAAAGCAGATGGAAATTGTGTGTTGTCCGCCCGAAATCACTGCACAACCACGAGGCGTTTCGATGTAATTTCATCTAATCAGGTGGAGATGGCAGGCCTTCAACCAGCGACCATTAGAATAGTAGCCGAAATATCTACCCCTTTGGATACCGGGTCACGGCGTGCAACGCATGACACAAAGGTGAATGACTAATTGGAGCGTCAATTTTAGACTACACATTGTGTGATTGGATTGCGACGCGCAATCCAAAGTGGAACGCGGTTCACATTGTAGCGAGCCTTAGTCACTGCGATCACTGGGACCGTATTCAAAGTAGGTGGAAAGTAGGTGATGCCCGCCCGAATACACTGCATAACCAAGCGTTGCCCGCCGTGACCCGGTAGCCAAAGGGGTAGAGGTTTCGGCTACTACTACAATGGTCGCGGGTTCAAGGCCTGCTATCTCCACCTGATGAGATAAAATGACACCGAAACGGGTCGTGGTTGTGCAGTGTTTTCGGGCGGGTAAGAACCTATTTCCATCAGCTTTGATTACGGTCCCAGTGATTGCAGTGACTAAAGCTCACTTCATTGTGAACCGCAATCCATTACATTGAGATTGTGTGTCGCAATCAATCAAACAACGTGTAGTCCAAAATTGACCCTCCCAATAGTCATTTACCGTTGTGCCAAGCGTTGCCCGCCGTGACCCGGTAGCCAATGGGGTAGAGATTTTGCTACTATTCCATTGGTTTTGGGTTCGATGCCTGCTATCTCCACCTGATGAGATGAAGTGATATCGAAACGCGTCGTGGTTATACAGTGTTTTCCGGCGGGCAGCGTCCAATTTCAACCAAATTCCTTTATACTTTTGTTCTGATAGAAGAACGAGTAAATTATTTCTGTAAAATTTAGTGGCAAATAAAACTTTGGCTCAAGCAATAGCAATAATCCTTCATGTATCACGCGTTTATGGTAAATTGTATAGTTTGCTACTTACTTGCTACCCAATTCAACGGATAAATGTGAAGTTATGGTAAACACAAATTGGATATGTTACTTCTAATGTTAGAATATTTATCAGTCGAACAGAACCACATGAATCTTAAACACTCATCAAGCGGATCAACACCCACACATCTTTTGCTGAAATAAAAAACCGACAGAAGTGTGTTTACTCGACCAGCTTGTATAAATTTGATTCAGCCACGTATCAACAGAGCAAGATATGCACAGAAACGTAAAAAGCTAGTTATTTAAAGCAAGGACGAACGAAAGACGATCATGAGCCAAATAAACTAGCTGGTGACCAATGACAGAACTTGAAATATACTGAAAACAACATGTTTACGATTCGGAATGTCGACCCGGTTAATGTTATTCTTCATTTTGCTAGCAGAATTAACACTAGACAACATTTTGACTTTACAGAATTTTCACCAATAATGCGCAATTATCCCAGGTTCCGGCGACTTATGCAAACTTATACAACTGCATATCTGAAGCATCGTGGCACTACACTAACAAACAATCTAGTTTGTTGACTATGGTTTCTCGTGGTAACCAACACTTTCTGTTTTATTTTAGAAGACACGTCAAAATTGGAAAAGGAAAATTGGATGCCTATCAGACATTTGCTCGCTGGGAGCGAATCGTGAAAAATATTTCCGATCAGTGTGCGAATACCGCCTCTTGCCTTACAATTCACTACGAGAAGCTAGTATTACAGCCGAAAAAGACCATGTCTCGAGTTCTGGGTTAGTTTGCTTCTAAGCGTCCAACTCACTTTGATTAGAAAACTTTGACGCTATAGTTTTTCGAGCTAGAAGACCCCAGGAATTCGATTTGGTATTCGATTTTCATGATATACGTCTGCAGTACATAGCATTGTTAGCACTTTAAAAGTGTCAATAGTATTCTAGTTTATGTTATGTATTTTATTACGTGATTAGCATTCTCAGTGATATTTATTCGTTTGGTTATCTTTGGGATCTCGAAACCAGGTGAACAATTCGGTCGCACTTTGGTAAATGCTAACTATAGTAAGACACATACTGGTCGTATACAACCTGTTTATTTTATAAATACAGTTAGCTGTGACCTCAGATAAGCTAAAACGATTTATTGCCACTTATTTTTCTTAACTTAGACTAGTCACTTGCCAAGGACGTCTAATCTCATTTGCTGGCTTTCATAGTTATTTCCACCTATTACGTCACGTGACAGACTAAAAACCTTAAAAGTTTGTGTAAGGGAGCACCGTTTATTTGTACTTGCGACGAAATCGAGTTTCAAGGTGACGCGAAGGTTCGTAAACCGTCTGCATCCAATGTACTTCGCTGCACGACATTTCCAAATTTATTCAGGAACAATCTGGATTTTTTATCTGTAGACCTAGGTTCAAGCACACCTACTGATAATCTTTTGAACAGCTACAAAACATTTCAAAAACTCTTAACACTTAGAATTAAAATGGAGCACGCTTGGGATAAAGCAGTGTGAAATGTGTTTCTCTGATGGTAGGAGAACATCAATTGATTTCATTCATTCGCCCAGCTCAGACGATGTCAGATCTGGCCAATTTGATTGGAGTACTTGTAAGTAATGAAAGTAGCCTAAGCTCTGTCTGAGTAGTGCATGGTTTCCGTGCTTCTCTCCATCACCTCACGCCACCACATCTTTCATCCTTGTTTGGACACCTCCTGCTGTCTACTTACTTCACCTTTCGTTACATCTGACTAGCATTACTTTGGTAAAATGCCTGTTACCTTTTTAACTCAGTTCCTTGGCGTTACCATCTTTGCCATTTGCTGATCCGTTACTGTTGTAAATGTAATCTTTTGCTATTATTTCAAAACAACCTTCATATTCGGCAGCGGTACACAAACATACACACCCACTTAAACAAAATAATTTTGTCATTGCTTTCCTACTGAATTTTGCCACCAAGAACTTAGACGCTCTGCTTGCCAATGTGATCGCGAAGGATGAAAAAATAAGAAGCTGGTTATTTCAAGAAGTAACTTCTTGACCATTATGCTGTAAATTACAATGTAACGATACCACTATTAAATATTACTGCAGGCAGCCTTAAGTATAATGGCGCTTATTGCATCTGAAAGTTAAAACTCTCATCGAATTCTAAGGCGCCATTTTATTCACATTCTTAGCTTCGAATGTACAGCATAATTACTAAATATTGCATGCTGTGATCCACGTTACTTGGTGTAAGAATAGGTAGATAAAAGTACAAAGCACTATGCAGATCTACAAAATAAATTTAGGAAGACAGCACGAAATAATTACTTGCGTAACATGATACTCACCTATACATACTCGCTAGCCATCTGAGCTTTAGCCCTTGAAAGTTGCTGTCTGGCACATTGCTTTTAGCTTCCATTTTCTATGACAGCTTGCGGACAATGCAAAGACATCATCACAGACAGACATTCACCGACTGAAGTGCTTACAATTATGGGTACTGAGCTTGAATGAAAGGAGAGCCTCGGCCATATGGGAGTTGCGGTTCAGCAATTGGCAAGACTGAAAATGAAATGCAACTTTCTATATCAGAGCACTATCATCACACACCATTCTTAAGCATCTGTAGTGCTGTCACAACCTACTACCATTTGAAATGGCAAGGCGTGCAACTACTGCTTTCGCGCCATGTATTTTGGCACTCCGCCAATTGTTCCTTAGTTAAACTATGTGTAAAAGCATTCACCAATTAAGAATGGGTATTTTACCACAACGCATGAATAATAACGAAATGATGGAAGCAAAAGTAGTCAGAGTAAAGTGGCTCACAGCACGTTGGCTATTGAGTTCTCTTCCTGGCCAAATCTGGCGGCGCTTCCAAATAGATGTGCACATAGTCCATTGGCACCCAATCCAGTATTCTGGAACACCCCAGTGTGGTCAACTTCAGTGTCTGCGTCATGATCTCCTGAACCCAGGTGCTGTGTTGGCCAAGTGTCCGTCGTCTACACTCAACGCCTTTGCATGCAAACAAGACAGCAGGGAAAACTTTTGGCTGGTATATTGCGAACTTTCCTAATTCATAGAGTGAACGCAGGGGAATTATGTGTTGCAGTGGCTGGATGATTCTACCTGATTAAAAAGCTCCGATGTAGTATGTCAGAATAAATAATGCAATGTTGCCAACGTACAACGGTGCTGCTTCAGAGTTAGCAGTGATCAAGAACAGACGGTCTGTGGACGTCGCTCTCTCTACCTCGCCAGCACTTTTAGCTAAACATGAGTGTTGTTCCTACCGCAGTGTTGCGGACTGGAACTTTTGGAAAAAGGCAAAGATCACGCTGTCACAAGAGATGTAAGACGTTAGTAAATGTTACTCTTGCTTTGAACACGAGCAAAATTGATGCTATCCGTTTTCCGCTCATCCATATGTAACTTCCAATTTAAACAAACCTCAATACTTTGAAAGTATAGCCGGAGTGAGAATGTAAAAGATGATGCTAACCTTTTCTGGATGAACCCACTGAACTTGGAATGTGCTAACGACATTGCGAACCGTGATATGGACATTTCCAACCTGCGCCGCATGTCTCTTTCGGACTGCCAAGAGTGGCAGATTACGGTGATTCCACCAGCATAGTCGGAGCCAAAAGCCATTTCCGAAGCAGAAAAATAGGGTTGTTAGCCGCCAACGAATGAACACAAAACCTGCAGCATGGCTTGGTATTGCATGCAAGCAACAGGGTATATTTTCCCTATTTAGGCTCCAATGTACTAGATGGTTAACCAGGCACATCTTTGGGTATAGGATCATCTGACACCTTAAAATCAAGACCACAGGGAATCCATAGACCCGCATACGAACAGCTAGTATGATAAAGCCATTTATCTCCAGTGCATGTGGAGAGGCTATTAGCAACATAACTTAGATCACAAAGTGATAAAAGCACTTAATAACATCAACTAAACACAATAGTATCAAACAATCTCGAAACGTGTTGGCGAGTAGCGCGTTTCGCGTAACTTATTACACTAAGGCAGCCGCTGTGTCCCTAGGTTAGTGTGCGTCACAGTCTTCGTTTAACGGTGGTAAACCATGTTGAACTTTCTATAGCGGCGACTGAATTCACAAGCTTACGGTCGCTCATTTTGCCTGTTATTCAAAAGACTTTCGCATAACCAATGTTAGATTGTCGTGAGTAATACGCGGTTAAAATTGTTTAAATAACATCCTAAATAGGCAGCATGTAAATATTAAAATTATACTTCATCCACCGGAAGAAAGGGTTCAGTAGATACCAGGGTTTTATTGTGGTATATAATAAAGATTTTATCTTGCCTGACGGTTGTAATAGAAGTGAAAAATGGATATTTTATTGCACGAACCGTCTTATAGTAAGAATATTGTGCTATGCCCGCTTACATCCAGATTGCATATTTGACAATGTAGCAAAATGTAGGCGACAAATGCCAAATACCAGGTGTGGTTTTTAAATGTTCACTCATTCCCAATTTTCTGTTTTCTCACAGAATTTCTTCATCTACCATGGGACGACAGCGTCCTGAATCATCATAATTTAATTAGGAACAGGACAATTTTAAGCAGGTAAGTGGGCCCATATATTTGCTGTTTGTCTCAAATCAAGTTTATTCGTCAGATACAAAATTTGGTTTTAGCAGATCGTAGAGAGCTATCGCCGTCCATAAATTTCGACATAATCGGCTGATAATAAATTGATCGACCGCTAGTTTGAATCCCTGGAAATTCCGAAAGGAAAAAACCAGCGTTGCTAAAGTCAATAAGCTTAACCAGATATCTGGCCTCCTACGTTAAAAGTGCCGTACTGTAGAATTCAAGCACCTTGAAATACTTTACAACACTGAAGTAGCCTAAATGAATAACATTCGCCGATGAATTTGAAAAGGACAAATTGCATATTTGGGGTTTTAAACTCCGTGCACGTATTTGCTAAGGTTGTGAACATTCCACTTTTTACTCTATTATTTCAACCTTATGAGAATCTGTTTTGCAGGCAACTAACAACCTGCAGAACCTGTTTGTAAACTGAAATATCTTCATCAAGCTAAACGAATCAAGACCCATGCTTACCACCGTTACAAAGCCGGAGAGGATTTCTGTTGGATGCAAACAGTTGGAGGTGCAGTTGAGGGCTGAAACGTTTTACATAGGAATTACTCCACAAACAGCAAACCGATTTAAGGGTTTGCTCATCCTAGTTAATAGATTGTTTGATGAGCAATTACCCAGCCGGAAGCAACAGAATTGCCTCATTTGCGCCTGTAAAAATATGTCTAATTTGCATATTTCAACCAGAAGTCATGCCTGCTAGCAGCAAATGATAAATTGTTCGGTAAAACCGATGCTGTTAATAGTCGCGTTCCAATTAATATGACATCTTCCTGGAAGAAAAACGGTGTGCCCATACCAGATAACCATTTGAAATGCACATATTACTCAAATCCTGTTTCTTGTTTATTTGTGGAATCATCTTTTATGGCGTAGTTCGACTGCTTCATGTCCAAGGGATAAATAAACAAATAAAATTTAATGTATGTCCTAGCCTAACGGGATAAACTTTAGTAACTGAAAACAATTCAGTGTACAGCTTTCATTAACAATGGTTGCTGCAGTTTATTGCGTTTTTGGAAAACTACTTCAACGTACTCTGGCGTTTTATAACCGAAAACTGCCAGTATACGTAAATCGCTTGGTTAAAATTTTGAGCCTATTTTAATTTATTTAACAATGAGTTTGGTGGAGTTGGCACCAAAATAAACTGCAAGCTAAAGCAGTTAATGAATTGCAAAGTGAATATGTTAAAGGCATTATGAACAAAATATATGAAAAGCAAGTGTACATGACGTTTGTTTTATATACGCTTGTATAAGCGTTTCTTAATTCTCGGAGTCTTGATTGCAAAGCCGATTATCTATTGACCTGCTGTTCACCTAAGCACTTGGTAGTAAGAGGCATACCAATGAAGGTCAAGGTGGGCTGAAGAAGTATGTAAATTGCCATGGTAGCCTAAATCAATGTGTCCCAGTGTTTGTGCTTGCCAATTTTAAATGCACGAGGCAGATAAACTTTAGAAATGAAGTCTAAGCTGACCATTCCAATAATTCAGGTGGAATCGTGTTCATCATGTATATTATATGCTGCTCAGTCATTTCCAATAAGGTCTGTTTTGATAAGTTTAGTCCGATTGTTTCATATGCTTTATGTTCTGAATACTGAATACTGAATACTGTATTATAGAGCAAGTAGAAATGGATTCTGTACAACTCTTTCGAGATATGGCGAAAAACGTTATAAAAGTTGTCAACCTTGAATATCATTGTCGTTCTCATGTAATATTTAAAATATTCGACTTACGATATTTCTGGATTCACAAATGTGATGTCATCATAAATGTGCAGTCGTTCTCTGAATCGAATAGAGGCAAAATGCAAATCTAACAACGTTTTGAACTGTTGCACAGATGTTGCCTCAATCACATGTTCGGGCAAACTATTCCAAATGTTTACCACTCTCCGTTGGAAGCACAGTGGGTGGGGAACACTTTTCATATCCGGCACAACAAGTTTGTATCTGTGTCCGCGCGTGCTGCATGGCCCTCGTAAGTGCAGCATTGGCCTTAACATGGGGAACTCACCGAGATGTAGAATTCGGTAGGTCATAATGAGGTCGACTCGCACCCGATGTTAGGACAAGGTGTAGAGTCCTAGTTTCTCGCACCGGTCTTCATACCCAAAGCCACGTAAACTCGGGATGAGCCTGGTAGAGACGTGTTGGACCCGTTCGATCTTTTGTGCCTCGCCTCGGGTAATCGGAAAGTAGGCGGGCGAACCGTACTCTAGCATTGGTCTAATGATAGAAGAGAACAGGCGAGTGGCAACCTCTTCAGACCATGTGCAGAAGCTACGTTTGAGCGCCCAAAGCATGCGCAGTCCGTTCCGATATAGCCTGTTCGTGTTGTCCACGGACTTCAAATCGTAGCATGAGAGTGCACTTAGGTCCTTCACGGAGGGTGTGGGATATAGCGTTTGGCCGTCAAGGGTGTAGGTTCGGCCGTCTGCACCCTTCCCCAGACTCATAAATACCGACTTGGCTGGGTTGAACGGGAGAAGAACTTCTGCAGACCATGTGGATAAGCGGTTGAGATCTTGCTGAAGTAGGCCACAGTCGTCGGGAGCGTCGATTTCTCTCCAAATCTTCAAGTCGTCCGCAAACAAGGCACACGGCGACCGGAGAAGCTGCGGTAGATCGTTGGTGTGAATCAGGAACAGTGTGGGCCCCAGCACAGTGCCTTGAGGCACGCCACTTTAAAAAAAATATGGAACGCTTCACGATTTTGCGTGTCATCCTTGCGCAGGGGCCATGCTAATCTTCTCTGTATCGTTCCAATTTTAGTATATGTACCGCCGAAGCGAGTTCTGTCGGATATTTGCTAGATGCATGGCAGAATCCACCTGCAAATTTACTGAACCCAACTGAATATAATATCTTGTTCCAGGAGTTTGTTGTTTTTTCACAAAGAAAGTGATCTGGTAAATGCATATACTCTTATTCCAAAGCAAATCTTTAATTGTAGTAGAAAATAATGCCAGCGTGCATAATCAAATCGATATACCACTCATAAAGGTAGTTGGAGATGGTGCATTGGAATAAAATGTAGGCGAGTCTTAGCAAGTTGCGGGGCTCTGATTAGACACGAGTTTAAGTTGCACTTGGGATAAATCTGATATATTACCGGCGAGCACGTTTACGATCCAATGTATGATGCAGTGTAATTCTTGATACACCACCAAAACTGTTCTGGAGCATAAGGTGTGTCATGTTTCCCAAAGCGGTCTCTGTTGGTTTAGAAATAAAGAGGAACATATAAATTGTCTTTCTTACATATAACTTGTTTTCATAAGCAATCGCATTTTTCTGATCTCGTATATTGCTAGTATGATCCTCACAGTTTCCTATATCTACATTCATTCATTTCATTTTAACCAGCACTATTTAGTTCATACTACTTTCTGAATATGGCTTGTGCAGTTCATTTTTTTTACATATACATCTAACTTTTTCCATTCATTCAGCGGAAAAACACGGGTGTAATTTTTAAGTCCCTGTAAAGCACTTTAACATATGCGGTCTCAAACGAAACAGAGTAGGAGATCTGTACGAACTTATATCAAGCACAGTTTTTTGACCGTTATGTGAAGAACTTATCATACATGTTGCCTGCTTTATTGTTCAGTCGTTTTGTTTAAAATGCATTAAATTCACAGCATACCATCCGGTATACTATATCTGCTTCACGATGCTCCATTATGACTGCAACGTGCAACGGACAACATGAGATCGGATCTCGCTAATTCGACGTGTAGTAGAAAGGCAGTTGGATGTGCGAGGTGAACTTGAGTAACTGCCAAACGCTCAGCCATTGGCGTGAGAGGCACAGAGCAACAAACAAGCTGACACAATCGGTCGTAACTACCGAGCTTAAAAGGACTAAAATGATAGGAATCCGTAAGGCAAATTTAAGCCAGAAATATTTACGAAGTAGTGTCGGTTGTTTCCCTTAGAGTAAGAACTTTCGCCTAAGTGCGCTAAGATTTCATCCAACGTGGCGAGGCTTTGCAATAATGGAAGAGATTTCCTGCGGTTTTGTGTAGTATTTATGGTCCTGTCACTGACCACAATTGTACATGCGTTATCTTGAAACCATTATCGAAACGGCAAGGCTTGAACAAATAAGAAACGCTAAGATCGTTTTATTAATGGAAGCCTCAACAGAGAATGTGCCACGGGCAACGCAGTAAGCTGCACCTCAGGCTTTATTAAAGAAGTTTGAGAGAGCGTCTAAGTGTGGATCATTTGTAGCTTTGAGCGTCAAGCAATGTGGTAATACAACCAGTGACCGAAATACGCTTGAACTGCCTACTTCTACTCCGAATGGAATAGCTACTTAAAGGGCCTCGACCATCCCGAAACTATCCCGAACTGTCAGAAACTTTGACTGGAGTTTTGCTAGCAACTTAGTTGCGGTCATTATCACATGAACGCTTATCTCCCCAGTTACTACCGTTGCGTGGTATTGGTATGGTATTGGCATGGTATTGATCTGAGCGTTCTTGTATCACCGGTGAGCAGTTCAACTGGGATGTGCAAACGTTTATTACATGAATTACGTCTTTCAACCAATTTAATTCGTTACTCGGATTCAAAGCGCGAAATAATCCATGAGAGCTCCATTTGTTGCTCAGGTACGAAGGGCACATGATCAAGTAGCGAGCAATAAAATGTATCCAGTGGCTTCGTTTCCACATTACAATGGTTTGTGACAATATGTTATGCGGACTAGCCTTAGAAACCTATTTGTACGTTTTGCACAATCAAAAATTTTGACATACTAACATACTTGGTAGGCGTGGTCACCTGAGAGTTGTCGGATGACTGCTCCGTTCAGAATACTTGAATGAAGTTCATTGGCAATTTTGATGGTCCGCTTACATCCGCCTCGGAACTCGGGCGAGTTTGTTCTGCAGTAACAAATTCAACCATCCAGAATGGTGCTCGAGAAAGTGACG